CTTTGTGAAAATCTAGATTCAGTATAGATTTAGTATACACATCAGTACTATATGTTATAAGAGCAGAATAATTATATTCCTTATAGTAATTAACGATTAGAACTATTAGTCAGTTTACTGAAATGTGAAAGTTCATGTTTACGTTGAACCGTTTGTGACTATCTCTACTACAAGTACAGAGGTTGTTAGTAGTTAGTACAAGTACAGTATATAGTTATAAGTTGAGTTATCCTGTTTGTGATAGTTTAAGATTTGTAGAGTTCCGGTAGTAAAGTCTACAGTATCCAATATGACAGCGTTCAGCACCGTGACTGTTATGTTTAGGTTTTGCAATTTTATTATGTTTGCACACGCAAGTTTTATACTATTTATTACTAGTTCGGTCGGGTTAGTAGTTGCTGAAAAAGTACTAGTAATATGTTATCTGGTAGGCATTCCCACTCGCCAACAGGGCTGGTCAGCCCAGATATTCTACTTGCCCTTACTGATTTCTACTAGCCTCGGGCGAGCGGGCGAGCGTTAGTTTCAAGCTCTGTATATATACATATATATACACATATAAACTAACATGCATCATAGTTATTATATACATACATACACACGCATGCATACACATCATATGTAGTAATCAACACAAATACATACATTAATATCATATGCGCAGGCTAATTAGGGTATGCATATAATACACACTCGACGTGGTTGTTTCTATGGCAACCGCCCGCCTGGCGCTAGCTCGTCAACATATTTACTCGAAGCTTCTAGAAACTATACACGTTCTAAGGCAGAATGCACACCGAGGGCGAGTCCCTCGTATCTGTGTATATATGTCACAGATAAGAAAAGCGCGTGTCGCGACATACACAAGCTAAGCGCTCGCACGAGCCTATGCAAGTTGCGTAGCCTTGAGGGGGGGGGGGGGCTTGCCACGCGAACATATAAACGCGTAGCATATATGTAATTCTAAATAAACTAATTTAATTAATTACCACAGCGCAGCGCACTGCTACACCTGCACAAGATGTCAAAATGGCCGTCACCTTTTCGTGAGCAGCACATTTGTAATGAAGTTTCGTGCATCCATCGCAAGTACTACCAGCACGGAGTATATTCTCACACCTTTACCCGATAGAAACGTGTTTATAGTCGGTCAAAATGTAAAGAAAATCCAAGCGATTAGCATTTTTGGTGCACTAACACTGGTTACTGTGGAAAATGAATGGAGTTGTGACTGCTTGTTTATATCAAAGAGAGCATCACACCAAAAGCCTGATCACGACCCAAACCCAGATCGACATGGCATTTCAAGGGGGTTGCAAAAGGTCCATAATAATTTCCTAAAGTTCAAGTCGACGACGTTTGCCATCATAATTATATCATACATATTTGCACGCACGTGTCACGAACTTTACCATAACATATGAATTCGGGTGGCAGCCATGAAAGGTTGGGAAATATAGATGCCTCTGTTGGGATACTGCTTAGAAGACTGAAACAGATAGATCGTGTCACGTGCATCGTACCTCTTCCTGCCATTTCTCCTTCTCGATCTCAAGCGCGGTCTCCAGCGACGCCACCTTCTGAACTTGCGACGCCAGCCAACCTTCCAACTAAATATAAAAGTGGAGAAGTGCAGTTATTAGATCTTTCTTCTTCAATTCTTTTTCTTCTTCTTCTTCACCTACCATGTTCTAACCATCTTCATTATATTACATTTTTCACATTCTTTACTCGAGTACATGGCGTGGTAAAAACATGACATTAAACTGCTGAGCACTAACACAATGGTACTGCGCTCTTACCTCCTCTATCTGTGATCTGTAAGAAGCTTTATTCGTCGAGAAATCTTGTTTAAGTTCGGCGATTTTCGTGGCCTGGCGAACGATGACATCATCGAGACCTTGAGGCTGATTGGTCTGAGAAACATCACCGGCGGGCCTGGCATCCTGAAAAACAACAGAAGGCAGATGTAAACTAATAGGTACATTAGACATGAAGACTTGAATAATGACGTCTGCCAAGGGAAACCATAGGGGTATCAGTTGAACCTGCCTGTGGGTTCATAATTAGATGTTAGTAATTACTAGGGCTGTAACGATACACAAGCCTCTCGATTCGATCCGGTTCGATATTGATGGCCTCGATTCGATGTCTTCGAATTCGATTTCCCAGAATATGAAATGTTATCTTATTTTTATATTTTCATTTATTTTGCAGATAATAAATTATTGAAGAAATTGCCCGAATGAATACTAAATGGTGGAATGACAGAGATAGTCCAGCGAATATTATATCAATCAGAGATGTATATCTAGATTATACTCTCTATGCGTATAATATACACTGCAGCACTGGGCAACAGCCACTGAGTAAAATTGTGAGTAACACTCCACAGTACGATAGCGTAGTGGCCGCATCTATTGAGAGAAAAAGTGGTATCAAATGGAATACGAAAATAGCGGGGAAAAATAATCGTAGGATCGGATAGCGAGGGAAGAGAATCGCGATCCGATCGATTTCGTAGATCGTTACAGGTGCACTAGTAATTACAGAGAAAATCGGCTCAAAATCAAGCAATTAAGTCTAGTTTTATCTTTGCACTCGCTGACAGAGATCAGAGAGAATTGCAGTCCTCCAGCTAGCACCCAGGGCCTGTGCCAGGGGGGGGGGGGGGGGGTTCGGGTTCGAGGACGAACGCCCCGCCCCCCGAGGCTCCCCCCCCCAAGCAACAAAAAAATTGTTGAAAATTTGAAAGAATGTTGCACCTCAGGTCGCTTAGGCCATTTTAGTGTAATAAGTGCAAGAAATTCATCGTAACGGAGGTGACAGTGAAACACCGCCCTCCTACACGCCTGTCCCGCTCGTCGGCTTGCTCCCTCACCTGGTCGCATTACGCGCCCGGAGCAGGGGCGTGTACAGGGGGGGTCCGAGGGAGTCCGGACCCGCACCCTTGCTCGCCAGAACGCGATCTTGAGGGGGTCTAATTTTAAAAAATTTCCTTTATATGCTCGCAACTTTTGGGTTACGTTAGACCGCCCCTGTACAAATCTGTACTACGCCCTTTTTGCCGGCGAGAAATTGCCAACATTGAAAACGGAAACCCCACGCCTAATTATAAAGGCTGCTAAGGGCTGTATTATGGACCTTTTTATCATTTTTACATTTTTATCATTGCCTTTAGGAGCAATGTTAGGGCAAAACGAGACATAAAGAGACTATATACCTCATTTATTTTCAGACCCAGTAGTATAATTGTTCCCTGGCACGATTAGAAATTTTGCTGGACTGACGCACGTGCAATGCTAATTTGTGCAGAGAATCAGACATAATACTGGGGAATTACTTGTGGCAGTTGCTTCGATTCTCTCTCCTGCTGCAAGGATAGCTGGAGTTGCAATATTTCATTTCTGGCTGCTGTTAGCTCTTTCCAACTATTGTCATTCGACGCTTTGACGTCTACAGCCTAATCAAAATGTAATTATAATGTATTATGATGAGAAATTTGCAGATTTCACATTCCCCTACCTAAGATCTGCTTGCATGTAATATAATCTCATGCAGTGAAATTACAAATCTGTGACCAACCCAGGCAATAAATTAAACATGCAATAATATGAATTTATCCATGCGATTTCGATTAACAAAGTACATCCACATGATCATCATCAAGATTAACGATATGTCAAAAACAAACAGCCCTACGATTAAACTTAGTTTTAGGGTTGCAAAAACTGTTTAACAGTCTTTATTTACTAAATTTGCATTAAGTTGTTCGTGTGATCGTGACTGGTGAACTGTGCTCTCAAAACATGTTGGTGGTAGAAGTGCTATGCTATCTGATGAACCAGCTGAAACAGAATAAAACAATGACATACGTAACATAACTTATGTCATAAGCTCTAAGTTCTAACTATGGCTATTGATCCAAGATCATACCTAGTTGTATTTTTAAATAAAAGTAGAGTTAATTAATACAAAACAGCAAAACTTCATATTTAGACATTATCAGTTAGGCCCATAGGGTCTATGTCCACCAGGGTAAGCCTACTGCTGGAACGTACCATGGGTACGGTCCGGTATACCGGAACGTACCCTGGTAACTATCTGATATGGTTAGGGTTAGGGTTAGGGAGTAGTGGTAGGCAACTCCCTAGACTCGTTAGTGGAGTAGGCGAGGTACGGTCCGGCTTATTAGATAGTACCAGGGTACGTTCCTGCATAGCTCTAGTACTATAGCCTGCGTACAGTTGCCGCAGGCTGCGGACTGCGGCTGCGGCCTGCGGCAACTGTACGCGGGCTATAGTACTAGAGCTAGTTCCGGCAGTAACCTGGGGGACATAGACCCTCTCAGCATCAGTTAGCTACCAAGTTGGCTAGAAATGAAAAAAAAAAAACATTATATATTCCATATTATTAATATATGCTTTAACCAATTAACATTGAATCAATATTGAATTATCAATATCAATTCCTGATGCTCATAGGGTCTATGTCCCCCAGGGTACTGCCGGAACGTACCCTGGGTACGGTCCGGTATACCGGAACATACCCTGGTAACTATCTGATATGGTTAGGGTTAGGGTTAGGGAGTAGGCGTAGGCAACTCCCTAGACTCGTTAGTGGAGTAGGCGAGGTACGGTCCGGCATATTAGATAGTACCAGGGTACGTTCCTGCATAGCTCTAGTACTATAGCCCGCGTACAGTTGCCGCTGGCAACTGTACGCGGGCTATAGTACTAGAGCTAGTTCCGGCAGTACCCTGGGGGACATAGACCCTCTCAGCATCAGTTAGCTACCAAGTTGGCTAGAAATGAAAAAAAAAAAACATTATATATTCCATATTATTAATATATGCTTTAACCAATTAACATTGAATCAATATTGAATTATCAATATCAATTCCTGATGCTCATAGGGTCTATGTCCCCCAGGGTACTGCCGGAACGTACCCTGGGTACGGTCCGGTATACCGGAACATACCCTGGTAACTATACAACTGTTATTGTTAGGGTTAGGGTTAGGTTTAGGGTTAGGGTTAGGGTTAGGGTTAGAATTAGGGTTAGGGTTAGGGTTAGGCGCCCCCATACTGCGCCGCCATACTGGACGTCATAAAGTGTATTTGCACCAAAATTCCTTCCGACGGGCCTGCTCTCAGCATTACTGATGGGCAGTTCCAGTTTCAGTTTCACCAAATAATCAACATTCATGTACACTACAGGGGCGCAATCAGGAGTAATTCCAGGCATTCCGGAATCCCCCCTGGTTTGTATCAAAATAGCACATATCTGATACAGTATGTCTATAAAAGCATGAAACGAAAATTTTAACGAAGTTTTATTAGTAGGTAACTAGGTTTGGAATCCCCCTCTTGGAAAGGATGGCTACGCCCCTGCACTACAAATATTCGATCATTGATCAGTACTCGAATACAAGTAAGTAGCATTAAATATGTTCCTGACATTCCGTTATGTTTCTAGCATCAAGTACTAAAGCTAAATCTGCCGCGGGTTTCATTTCCTTACCGTTAGACGTCGAACTGCTAGTAAAATCTTCAGGTTTCGTTAAATTGACCGCCATTTATTTACAGTCACTTCCAGGAAAGATCATGTGCTGCCTCCCTGCGTTCCTGTCTACAAGCGCGTCCGGCTACCGCCTCCTTAGACTGGTACCCGGTCGACAGTTCCACACGCTACACTACGTCATTCTAGCGAAGGATATATGCCGGAGTGAAGGTGGCGGACGGGTACCAGTCTACCGCCTCCTGATGAAACATCAACAACAGTGCGCCGTAGGTAAACTAGCTTTGTACTTTTTCTACTATGCAAATGAATCTTTGCATAGTAGATACAGGTGTGTTTTACTTTTAGTTTTATAGGCGTATCAGCTGGCTGGGCTGAGTCACTGACTGTGTTGAGTTCACTGATTTAAGTAAATAGTAGGGCCCTTGTACTTGGCCCTCGGTACCGGTCGGAGGTATACCGGTACTGCGGTAGATGCCTCGGAGCTAACCCGACCAGGCTGTGTGACTAACGTCAATACACATTACACCCTAGCAATACCGTTTCTTGGAGCTACCTCGGAGCTAGCTCTAGTAACTATAGCCCGCGTACAAACTGTAGGAATGTGGTCAGAAGTGCGTTACGAGTTCTTGATGTGACAGAGTAATCAGTATTCGAGGATATGTGTGTAAGTCACCTCGATTAGCTGGGCTTGGATTATGTAAAGTTGGTTAGTTTTGACAAATCGTTTAATGTCGGTTACAAATCGCAGATTTGTTTGTTGTTCCAGTTATCATACTGGGTTGAACCTCAGAGTTAAATATGTTTAATTGACCTGATTAGTGTATAATTAGTACATGTTATCTTAAGTACCCTCATGCGAGACTATCTACAATGGACAGGGATATGTCACGTTTCAGTGATGTGTCTGTTGTTTGTGTTCCTCTGCCCACAGGTCGGGCGTACAAACATCGGCAAAGCGACCTGAGTACTCGAGTATGTTGGGTGAATTTTATCCAATCCTCGGCGCCATTGTAACGTTCTCTATTTACTCTTGTGCTAGATGAACAAAAACGATAAGCAGCGAAGATATGGATACTGCTACGCCACTGGTAGTCACGTTAAGTTGCCTGTATCCATATCTGTCTGCTGTATGCTTGTATCTAGCACAGTATATAGAGAAACGTTACTACCTCATTAACATCTATGATATTCGAACTTTGGGGTCCCGTATACAGTGGCCTTAGATACAGTAGCACTACAACAAAATTTCTGCTTGTGGTGTGTGTATTCACTGCTGTACTTGCACAACAAATGTTAAACTTGTGTTACGAGTAAGGCATGATTGCACAGGTATTTGTATTCGCACATCTCAACCATAAAAACAACATGGTAACAACTAAACCTTCCATATAACACCTTAACACATACACTACTGGCCACTTAGGTAACACAGTGCAGTCGATCACAGTCACCGAAGCGGCCGCGCGGTGAGCGCGGGGTTCAGCTAGTGTTACTTAGGCTGGTGCTCCGCAACGGGTACCGTCGTCCGATTTTTTTCTCTTAAAGTCACGGTAGTGATTATGCCAGCGCAGTCATCGCGCGAAAATAATTACCGTTGCTTGTCGGATACGAATTATATATACGCACTCTATCTCTCGATATATACGAGAACCCTAACACATAACCTACCCTACCCTAACCTAACTAACCTAACCCTAACCCTAATTTAAATTATAAAATTTTTTAATTTTTTAATTGTAAAAATAATGTTGTTATTGAAAATGTTGTAAATAATCATGTAAATATTTGCTGTTAATTGAAAAAAAAAGTGAAACAGATTAAAGATAGAAAAAAATACGAGAAACAGGAGAAATAATTAAAAAACGGGATGGGATTCGATCTGCACCATTGAATACTTGGCGCCAGGGCGTCCTAACATTACACCTGCGACATATTGAATAAAGAATTGTTGGAGTGTGCTATGTATATCGGCAAGAAACAAGATCACCAATCAGGCGTCCAGTTACGTAGTACCGTGACTTTAAGAGAAAAAAAGGTCGGCGACGGTACCGTTGCAGGGAGACACAACCGTTTACTTAAATCAGTGAACCAACACAGTCAGGTGACTCAGCCCAGCCTAGCTCTGATACTATAGGGCGCTTACATTAACTTGCGCTGCCAGTTAATGTAGCGGGGCTATAATTATGCACTAGAGGCTACCGCTATAGCCCGGT